TCCTCATACGAGGGGATTGACTGCCCTGCTGGACCCAGATGTGGATTCCCCCCCATTCCAATCAATAGCCGTTGGTAAGGGTCGGGTATCAACCATTCCCCCCTTCACATGATTAGTACCCATCATGTGATAATCACCCTTCTTTGCCTCGATTATCTTCCCTCCACTGTCCACATCTATAACTTGACAATACCACTACAATAGCTCTACATTTCCACTGTAATGTAACCTATGCTACAAATACCACTCTAATGTGACCATTGTACCAGCTTTGTCTATCGACCATAATGATGATTGATTGTCCACAAAAGAGTTGTAATTCAGGATTCCGAGTATTCTACTATTCGCTGATTGTAGAATCTTAATATGTCAGCATGAGCCATGGGGACTACTCCACGTTTTGCCGTGGGTATAAAGTCTCCTTTAAAAAATCCCTGTTTTTGCAGTTCAGCCGTAACAAGTGCTCTCCGAACCGTGCGAGATGGTCGCCCATCACACGGCTCTCCAACCTGAGTAACCTTTGTGGTTTGCCTGACACAGTGGAATTGGCTTACGCTGTGCTTAAAGAAGAGATGAGTCAGTTGACCATCGTCTGGCTTGAAAAAGGTGGCAAGTAGCTAAAAGAAAACCAAATTTAGCGAATAACATGAACAAGCGAAATTCCTTGAGAAAAGGGTATTTTCTTCAGCATCAAAGATGAAATCTGGCTATATGCTGGAACCTCTGACCGAGTGACACAAGTGAAATAATGATAATGTGTCTTCAAACAGTGTGTTGTTGCTTTGCCTTATGCTCTTGACCCCTTTATAGAGTGTAATATATTTGTGCAAGTGTGCCACGTCGGCAGTAGACAGGTGTGTGGGCACTTACTGCTTAACCACACAAATGTGGGCAACCTTGCATCTTCTAATATATTGCCTATCTATACTTTTTTTTTTTTATGGATGGTTTGTGATGATTTGTGGTTGGAAGGAGGAGAGAAAATGGGGATCTTTGACACACACACACACACACACACACACACACACAGACACACACACACACACCAAGGACAACCAAAAAACTGTCCAATTATAAAATTGCTTTAATATGTTGGACATCTCAAATGCTCTCATTGTCTGCAATAGGACAAAGACTGCTTTGATTCTGAATCTGTTCACCTGGGTGGAATTGGGGTTGTTGTGGGGAAAATCTAAAACACACACACACACACACACACACACATAGACACACATAGACACACACACCAAGGACAACCAAAAAACTGTCTAATTATAAAATTGCTTTAATATGTTGGACATCTCAAATGCTCTCATTGTCTGCAATAGGAGAAAGACTGGTTTGATTCTGAATCTATTCACCTGGGTGGAATTGGGGTTGTTGTGGGGAAAATCTAAAACACACACACACACACACACACACACAC